CTGCGCTTCTGAAAGCAGCCTCTCTTTGAAGGATGTGGTTCATCAGGTAATGTCAAAGCTGTATTTGTTTTTCTTTCCTTCTGGTGGTGTGGTGGCCAGGTGGTGAACAACCAGGTCTGTAGAAGCCTTGTAGATCTTCTCCTTGTGCCAGGTGGGTTTTTCTGGGCAGTGGTCACAGTGGTGTCTGCTGGAGCTGCCCTTGAGTTGGCCCTAATGACCCAATGGGATCCTCACAAACCTTGTAACAAGACATTTCTGTGCAACACCATTAACAATGAGAGAACATGGAGCCAGTGACCCTTACAGAAAAGCCTAATTGGTTTTCTAAAAGTTATAATTTCTAAAAATTTCTGATATGGATCAATATGCATGTTCTGCCCTATCAAAGTCAGACCATGGGAGCTTCTGGGTCCCAAAAATGCCAGGTGTCTGCAGAGCCCAATGGCTGTGGGTTTGGCTGGGTATAGCTGTGATCTTCGACTGCTCATTGAGGTGGGAGAGGACCTGCCCTCCTGTGCTGCTGGCTCTGGAGATGAGGGGAGCACAGGCTGATTTTTCCGGAGTATTCATGGGATGAAGAACACCTTTTGCTTAACGCACCTCCCATTTTCCATCCAATCCATTAACGTAATCCAGCTACTCCCCCAGTCCCTTGCACCTATTCTTTCCACCCCAGTCCCTTGCCCACCTGCCCTGAACAATGCCAGCTGCCCCCAGGGGTGGGTTTCATGATGGCAGAGCCTTACAGGTGCTCTCTCCCCATCTCCTCAGCGCTGCTGGCTGGCTCACCCTGAGCAAAATGTGGTGCTAGTTCCATGCTCTGGGTCTAACTGGGACGGTGGAAATGGCTGTGCAGACCGGGAGACCTTTTTAATCTGTTAAATTTAATTTAGTTGATTAATTTCGAGTAATCACCAGTAAATATTTCGGAACAGCCCAGATGCAGAGGAGCAGAAGGTGCAAGTGCTGCTGCTCCTCAGCTGACATTGCCACCAGGGTCCTCGCTGCTACTCACCTGCTTTTGCTCACAGAGATCTTGCTACTTGGCCAACCTAAACGGCAGGTTTTGGGTGTCACATCATCTCATCTTCCTCTTCAGCCCAGGTTTGCTGCTGCAAAAGAGCCTTCTCAGCAAGTATGGGGTTGCTGAGCAACAGGGCATTGCCAGGCGGGTTGAGGGAGGGCTGCATCCCACTGCCACGCACAGAAAGGAAACAACAGACGGGAAAAATCAAAGTTTTACTGGAAGAGGAGAGGCTTCTGCTCTTCCTGAGGTCCTTGGTAAGCCCTGCCTGGGTCTCGCTGCCTGCAGGGCCCGGATAAGACCTTGGCTGCCACACAGAGCGGCTTCGCAGGACAGGGTGGAAGTCAGCTCAGGGTGTGGTGCAACGTGATTATTCTTCATAGTATTTTTCATTAATCACATCCAAGATAATCATTAAGCTATTGCCAAGTAACCAGTACAGACTTGATATCAAACTGCTTGCCACGTCAATCCCAGTTCAGGCTGGATGTGTGGATTAATAGCTGGAGCAGCTTGACACATTTTCAATTCTTTCAAGACGAAAAATGTGTCTTTTTGGATGCGACAAAACTCGCAGCACTTGGGAGGATGTGATCACTTCCTTTTTCTCTGTTTGCCTCCCGATTGCATGATTATGAAAGAAACATCTGTTTTGAAGTGATCTGCAAGAGAAAATTTTTGTTCCAGTTGGATTTGTGATGGACAACTTCTGTTACAGACTCTTATTCTCCCCACCCTGTTTCTTTCCCTTTTTCTCTTGCTGGAAGATGACAGAGAAAGGAAGAGGAGGAAAAAAACCAAGCAAACAAACCCCACTGCCCAGACTACAAATACAGACAGAAAATGGGGGCACTGAGGTGTGGGTGGTGTGAAACACCACACTGAGCTGGCAGAGCATGTTTGCACTTCACTTTGAGAAGGTTTGACGTTGTGTGCGTATGGATTTTTCTGCATCTTGAATCAATGAAAATACTAAAACATCGATAAAAATGTGGCACTTGTTTTTGTCTCACCAGGAAATAATTCCTATTGTTTGATAAGCTTAGATGTAATTAATCTGAAGCACCAATAATGTAATATATTAATTATATAGAAATAGGTATTTTTCTGTATCTGCAGTATTTTTTGATTCTCCCTGACTCCATTCTTCTGCTGCAGAAGAGGAAACCCATTGTTCCTTTGGAAATCTCTGCCTTTGCATACTGGTAGGCAGCTGGAAGAAAAAACCAGTGAGAAGAAAAGCCTCAGGCACTGTGGCCAACAGATAAGGCCAGTTTTAGTTTGTGAGGCTGAAATGTCAGTACAAAAGGCCACCCAATGCTATCAGCTACTGTGGTGTTTGCAGCATTTACAGCAGACAGTGCCAAGCAGCAAAAAGTGCGGAAGAGGATCCAGGATTTTGGGGCATCAGTATCCACAGACAGAAAATGAGATACAGGAATTTGAGCCTAAGGGAAAAACGACAGGAAAAAGAAAATTGGCTGCACACCATCACGGGGTGTGCTGGTCACTCCCTGCACAAAGAGGTGAGGACGAGCTGCTTGGAAAGGGAGCAAAGCTCCTTGTCAAGGAGATTTGACACCACCCCTTGGTGGTGGCCTTGCATGTGCTCCTGGACCACTCATACAGCCAAGCAACTCCTTAAGTCAAGTCCAAGTTCACGTAAATGCAACTGAAACACCAGCACCTGTTTGGTCCAGATATCAGGAAGGATATTGAGGTGCTGGAGCAGGTCCAGAGAAGAGCAATGAGGCTGGTGAAGGGACTCGAGCACAAGTCCTGTGAGGAGAGGCTGAGGGAGCTGAGGTTTTTTAGCCTGGAGAAGAGGAGGCTCAGGAGAGACCTCCTCACCCTCTACAGTTACCTGAAAGGAGGTTGTAGCCAGGTGGGCATCGATCTCTTCTTCCAGGAACCAGCAGTAGGACAAGAGGGCATGGTCTTTAGCTGTGCCAGGGGAGGTTTGGGTTGGATATTAGGAAAAAATATTTTACAGAGAGAGTAATCAGACATTAGAATGGGCTTCCCAGGGAGGGGGTGGATTCTTTGTCCCTGGAGGTTTTTAAGATGAGACTGGATGTGGCATCAGTGCCATGGTCTGGTAACCATTGCAGGGTTGGATCAAGGGTTGGATTTGATGATCTTGGAGGTCTTTTCCAACCTGGTCAATTCTATGATTCTATGATTTTGGTGCCTATCCTAGAAAATCTGGATCCAGACATGTAAACCCAATTGTAATAAAGAATTAAATCATCTACCTGAGTCCTCCACAAGCCAAAACAAATATAAATTATGTATATGCTCTACTGCTTCACATGTTGGACCAAGACTTACATGTAGAAAAGGTTTTCCAGATTGTAAATCTGCTTAGACCTGGGGGACTTCGGAGGACTGTCCTTCAATTGATTGTTATTTTTTATAAAATGTGAGGAGGAAGCTGGTGGGAGAACATGGGTAAAGATGATGGAGGTGGCCAAGTCACATATTTAGTTACCAAAACACCTAAATATCAGATTTATAGCCAGAAGAGAATAGACACTGGGGTTTTAAGAGAGAGATGAAAAAAAAATGAAGAAAATCAATACATTTCCTGTCTTGTTAAATTTTTCCTTCCAATTAATACACTTCTGGATTAGCCCAGTTTTTAAGAACCTGTTCATGTTTGCACTGGATACAGCAGAACCTGGTCTGTATCAGCTCTGCTCCCACCTGAAGAGGAATTGATGCCTGAATATCAAAAATTGTTTATGCATGCGGAAAATTGTCACCTGCAAATGTCAGTTGCATGATAACAAGAACATTTAAGACTACAGGGCACATGTTCCCTTTGGTATGTGGGAAAAAACAAAGGTCACTGCCTAAAGTGCACTTGTACTGTTAAAATTCATACTTAAATGCCCAAGTCCTAGCACTGGGTATTGGTTAAAACCACTCCCAAGGTTAATCAAAGCAGTCTTCACATCTTTCTCACAAACTACTTTTCCTCCCATCTAGATAGCTGTTATGATACAGCTGATTAAAAATATTAACCAGAGATTCCAATCCGATGGACAGAAAACATATGGGACCAAAAAAAAAAAGTATCTAGAAAGAAATCTGTGGTTTTACAAAGTTAGCAGTCTGACCCTGCATCAAATATCTGTCATGTTTTATTCTTTCAGGGCATATTTTTTTTAAGGATTTTTCCCTTACGATGTAACTAGTTCAGAAGGAATCTTCATACCCATATTTTCAGTGTGTTTCACTTTGGTCTTGGAAACCAGGCTGCTATTTTGAACAACTCCAGTTCAGTAGCCAACCCATTCCAAGAGTGTCTCCCTGCCATGCCACTGTTATTGTAGATGACCATGTTTTGTCCTGCTTCTGCTAACAAAGCAGGGTAAGTGAATCAATTCCCTAAACGTGACTTAATCTTGGTTCAGGTTCAGTCATGAACTCAAGGAAAACCTGCATATCTCATGCTCCACGAGCAGGGGTCAACCCCAGCCTGTACAAACCCTGCAACGTGGTCTGTAATGCTTTGGCTCCACATTAAATTGCTTGTGTTACCTGGCACCTCTGAAGGCTCGTGGCATGTGCTCCAGCACACAACCAGAACAGGAGAGGAAAAAAAGAAGAAAAAATAAAAATAAAGAAGAAAACAGAAAAAAGAAAAAGATATGCCAGAATCAGAGTTTCAATGGGTTTTATAGCCAAAAAAGAGACCATACATAGCTTTAGAGAAATACTCTAGAAGACTCCTGGAAAGCAATGGGCAAGGAAGTGCCATTTCTTGTCATCAAACTGCTTCCTTCCATTGTCAGTTTATAACTTCTGCCTTTGACCTCCACGGAGGGCAATTGTGCATGTCAGCCTCCCTTATATCATGCACTTCTTTTTCCTTCCCCTTCTGCTTTTGCTTTTTTTACTTCCCTCTCTGCTTTCCCACTGAAACAGCCCATGACACAGAAGCCTTTATGCCAGCTGTGATGCCCTGGGGACTGGTCCTGGGAGTGGAGCAGAGCCTCCTGGAGCCCCTGGAAGGTGGGATACTTTGGTGAGAGGCGTGGCCAGGCAGTGCCAGAACTTGGTGCCCTTCTCCATCCTGGATACTTATATGGAGGAGACTACAAACCTACAGCAGAAAGGTGTCCTGCCAATGTGGGGACATAACCAGCTGCTCTTTCTCGCTCTTTCTTAACTCTCTTGTGATTTTTAGCATCCTTAAAGTAAATTGGTGACTACTTCGAAGATCCATGTTAGAAAACGAAGTGCACACACACACACCCACATGCAAACACCTGCACAGATTCATGAAGATATCTGGGCTGATCTTCCCCGTGTTTCCAGTGGCTTTGTGTCTGCAGTTCTGGCAACAAATTAATCTGGAAGTGGAAAATCAAGAAAGAGTTAATTAAAAAAAAAGAAAAAGAAAACTTTGCCTTGTTTGCACTGATTTTGCATCAGTTTCCATGGAAATGGAAGTAGAACAAGCCAAGAGCAGTGGTGGAGCCAACTTCAGCTGCTGGCTTCAAGTTCTTGCTTCTGTTTCCATGGAAATAGATGCCAAATCAGCAAAAAATAAGGTAACTTGTTTTAAGATACTAGAGTTTTAAAGGCTTGTCCTTATTTAACCTCAGTCAGGAAGATAGCTGGTGAGGGGAGGGAGCCAGCAGCAAAGTGAAAACTTTCAGAGGCTCTTTTAGCAGCTGACTCCTGTTGAACTCTGTAGAAAGTGAATTCACGGGGCAGCCACCAATCTTCAGAAACGTTTTGCAACTTTCCTGCACGTTCTAAATAAAATACATTTTTCTCTTGGCATGGATAGTCACAGCAGTCTGTAACATCCCAAGCTAACACCTCTTTGCAATGCTACCATGCAACTGCCTCCTTAGGCTTTCTTTGCCTCCAAGAGTTCTGAAAGAGATGTGCTTTTCTCAGTTACAATATGCAAACTACTTCCATTCCAAAAGCAAAACTTTGTGCCTCAACGTACGAAAGAGAAGCAAAGAAATATTAGCTGGGGGAATTCCTGACAGTGTTTTACAACAAACATCCCACTTTCTTTTTTTTCTTAATCTCTGAAGGCAAAATTTCACTGAGATAAAAGAAGTTGACCATAACCAATTACATATAGCAAAATGTGGATGGGGGAGCAGGGAAATATGAACTGAATCCAGTAAAAAAGAAAAATCTGTAATTTCAAGAACTGAAATTTCATCCAAAACTCATTTTTTTAAAACCAACTTTAACAGAAAGTTATTTCAAGATTGGCTTTTGATCCTTAGCTGTTGCTGTGGTGGAACTGTCTGTAGGGAAGAGTATTTCTTGGTGGGAAGTTGTGTCAAGAGGGATATGAGAATTCCATCCCCGTCCCCATTGTTCTTTCAATTGCTCGTAAATTGGGATCATTCCCAGCTATCCTCCACCTCTCTCTTCCCACACAACCCCTTTGCTTACACACTCCTCAGGTATCTCTTTAATAGGCTGCAAAGACACCCTAAGACAATGGATGGTATCACAGGTCACTTGTGGCCCCTTTTGTGGTAGCAGAATATGTCTGGAAGCCATAGTGTAGGTATATGTTTAAAAAAAAATTCTTGGCTGGCATTCGTGAAGAAGTAAATGCAATTCTAATGAGACATTCCTTCATTGGCAGTATTACATTTCCTCTTTTTAATGACATAAAATCTACTCTTGCAAGGGCACGTGCTCTGCTTCATGCACTAAGAATATTCCCTTGGGCTGCTGAGTGAGTAAATAGATGAAGAGTGCAGGCCAATCTAATTTTAAAGAAGTGGATCAGGCCTAGACTGGGGCCTCATAGTCGTTAATTTTAGGTATTATAAGGAGTGTGCTCATTTTCTGACTGGTTTCTGTGGATCTTCTTTGAAGGAAACCCAAGAAACATCAAGACCTTCAAGAAATTGCAAAAAAAAAAAATAAAGATGGAATTTTTTTGCATAAGGAACATTTTAAAATGTGGGAGATTTTTTTCTTTTTCCACGGCACACATTGTCTTAAAATTCATGGAACTTGTTCCGATTACTTTATCAGACACTTATTGCTGCTGTTGCTGCAGTGATGTGATTTCCTTGAAGATGTATTTGAGCTGTTGGGGTCCTATTTGAGAGGGGGAATCCAGTGCCATGTTACCTGTAATTCTCTGTGGCATTTCAGTAATATTTCCCCTGGAATAGCTTTAGCCTCTTCTGTAATGGAAAAAAAAAATATCAGGGAAGCAATGGAAAGCCAATTCATACATTTTAAGGCGAGATGTGGGGGTGGAGCTGAGAGCACCACTGCTCCCCAGGTGTTGGAAATTCAGCTTTCAGTGTCCCTTTTTGACTCTCCATTACACAACAGTTCATCATCCTTCAGGCTTGCAGGTCTCCAGGTCACTAACCTGCATAAATGTCCTGCCCCTCGGCTTGCAGTGGTTAAATCACACTGGGAGTGAAACGGGAGCTTTTTGCCAACTCTTCTGCAAGCAGCTCCAAGCACCACAGTGTGACTCAAGGGATCCTAAAAACTACAAGAACAGCACGTTGTGGAGTCAAAACCAAGTGGAAAAAAAAATAAAAGAAAGGAAAAAAGAGCAAGGTCTGGCATGAGGTACATGCAGCAAAAAATTACGTGCATACACTTTTCTGTGAGTTTCATAAAGTTGGCAAGTCAACCTTCCTCCAGCACTCTGGAACATGCTGACATCCCTGTCCTGGGAATCTGGCTCTGCCAGCCCACCCAAACGTGCTGCTGGCCCTGCCATCCCCAGGATGCCGTGGTGGGTGGGCACAGAGCACAGTGTGGCAGGAGGGATGGAAACATTCCAAGCAAGGGCAGGCTTATGAACAGAACACTAGGGAACTTCCAACTTCGAGATTAATTACAAGAATAAAGCCTTCTCTGCCTTTTTTGTCCTCTGCTTTTCCTGCAAAGTGACTGCTCCCAGAGCAGACACCACTCCTATCAGGGGGGAGCATCTCATCAATGAATTGGAGCAGCAGCAGCCACCAGGTGCTTGCCACGAGTGCAGGGAGACACCACGCTGGCAAACTCCCTTCCTAGGGCTCTGACCAGAAGTTACTGTAGGCAAAAACCTCCTCCCAGAGATACCTGGCAAAGCTGGACTGTGATTGAATAATGCATGGAACCACATTCACACACATCCCTGCTGGTACCCTGTGATGGGCAGGGGAAAGTGGACAGGGAGAATGTGGATGGGGGGAAAGTGGACAGGAGCCTCTGGTGCCTGTTGGCACCTGAGGATGCTCCTGTACTGGTCCCTGGGCCTGGGAAGACATGATTTCTTCCTGGCTCTGATCTCAGGTCATCATCTGTCTCAGTTCAAGCTCCATACCCTCCTTGATCCTCCTTGCTCTCCCACCTTTTTGGTGTAAGCCAGAGTGGACGTGTGTGACACCCTGACCCATGACAGCTCCTTCTGCAACTGAGGCAAGGGTTAGCAAAGGGCAAATGTGACCAGTGAAGCAGCACAATTGCTTTGCTCCAAAGCTCAGCCTTGACTGGGACATGACCTTCATTCAGCCATCTCACCAATGGACTCTTAAAGCCTGTCAGTTTTCTCGGTGTCTGCAACATTTTTTAGGTTAATTTGAAGTCTAATTTGTTCCTCAGTCACAAAGTAAAAGGCATGTCACCTTTTTTTCCACCCCTTCATCCATGACTAGATAAGGCTGCCTTGTGTATATGCCTTACATCATGTACCTGTACAGGTTTTTTTTTATTTTTTATTGTTTGTACTAATGATTTTAATTCTAGAGGTTTTTGCATTGGAAATGGGAGGCCTGTAGCTTTCACAGCACAGATGGGAGATAAAAGCACCATAATCACAGAGTGGGATCAATGAGACTTTTTTTTCCAGGAAGATGCTAAAGGCATTATTTGGCATTAACAAAGAAAGGCATAATTAGAAAATAGGCAGAGAAGGCTTTATTCCTGTAATTAATTTCAAAGTTGGAAGTTCCCTAGTGTTCTTCTGTTCAAAAGTGACAGCATATGAGCCATTGCAAAGGAGATGTGTCTTAATCATAAATCAGAAACAGGGAGGAAATTGAAACCTGTGTTTCCACTGACTTTAAAAAGAAAAAGCTGTAATCTGGAGTTAATGTGTATTCTGACTGTATGTGAAGAAAAAACAATTATAAATAGTTATTGACACATTACATGAAAGGCAAGAGGAGGATATAGCCAAACTTGGTTTCCTGGGAGACTGGGCATTCCTCTCCAGAGAAAAAATAATGCTCAGAAGTCACTTTGATAGCTTGAGGCTGTGACTGTGTTTGCAGCTGCTTTTTTTTTTTTGTACTATTTTCCTACAATTACCACGAGCTCCACTGATGGTCACAATGCTGGAAGAAGTGTTTAGTAAACTTCTCCTGCCTCCCATCATTTAAAAAACTGTCAGAACTGTTTCTGAACAAGAATAAATGGATCTGCTTCAAGAATGCCAGCAGTCTTGGTTACAGCCTTGCTCCCATCTGGATCTTCAGCTTTTTAATAGGCAATCTGAACATCTCCCTGTGTGGTAAGATCAAAAATTATCAAGGGAAAAAGACATGCACAGCTTTCTATATATTATTTTTTCGTCCTGCCCCCTAGTCCATGGCTGTTGTCCCCGTGTCCACAGCTGAGATATGATTTGGTGCAAAGCTCCTGGCTTGTGAAGGCATAAGCCTTGCTACAAGGGGTGAGGTTGGAGAGCTCTAGCACTGATGTTTTAACTTAGAAACGCTGGATCCCCCCAAGGCAGCTGATGTTGCACACAGAACCACACGTTTAATTTTTATTTTGTTGTATTTTTTTTAATATTGGCAGCTTTACAGTTAGGCTTTTTAGTTTAATCTGGGTTGAACTGATATAGTTAGCTTTGTATCATGGGTAGTGCTGGCTGATGGCTGGGGTAGGTGAACATAAATCTCACGGTGCCTCCTCACACCATGAGGAATTCACAGCCTGCACACACTTGCAAGTTCCCATTTGTGTACATACTTCTGGGACTGACTGCAGAACAATCACACCTTCAGCTGCAATGTAGCATATGTGCATTTATACACAGCACCATTCACGTGGCAAAGTTTTGCCTGTGTGCACACACTCACACATTCTTTTTGTAATGACTTTCACACTCATTTGCTTATGAGGTTGGTTACGTCTCTTTGCTCACATTCCACTCCAGCTTTCTCTACCTCTAGACCCTTGGTTTGTTGGAGGGTGAATTTGGCATCTTGCTTTGCCATAGGATCAAAAAATGCATAAAGATACGAAGATAAAGATAAAGATAAGATTACTTCCAGATTCTATATGGCTTTATTTTTTTCAGAGTTCACTCGAGGGCAATACTTCTTTTAGGTCCCATTCCTAAGGTTTCTTGCTCAATGCAAAGAAATATGTACATGAGCTTATCACAGAGCTCTACCCAGCATTTCCCAATATGCAGTTAGCATTTTCTGGTGCAATGCTTTGTGTTTCCTAATGCACAGATAGAGCGTTTCAAACAGCAGTTTCCTTTTCTATTACTTGTTAATTCCTAGATTCTGTTTCAACACTTTGCTCTCAAGCAAGTGATGCTATTTAAATTCTCCTGGAAATACTTCTTGCGTATGCAGGAATTAAAAAAAAAAAAACACAACAATTTGTGTGTCTCTGGCAGAAATATCTTCTGGAACCACTAATGGTTTTCTTACCTCACAATTATATCCAGGGAGTGTTCCTGTATTTACCATTCCAGATCACTACAGTGATGGCTTAACTCAAGACAGACGAGCTGCTCTTCTCCTTCCAATAAAGTGATTTTCTCCTGTCGTGTCATTCACAAGCTGGAAAAGTCACCCCATTCGCTGTCAGTAGTTAGTCTTTGGCCAGTGTTTGTACTGCAAGTCTTTTTGTTTTATTCATTTACCTCTTCACAAAATAATGTTTATTAACTTTGGAAGAAAAAAAGTTTTTAAATTTTAACGGTATGATTCCTTTTAGAAGGTAGCAATAATTATTTTTGAGTTACAATGATAAATCAAGTTTGCAGAAAGGCATAAATATGAATGTCAAGTACCTAAAACATCTTGAAAAAATGCAGAATAAGATGAAGGAAACAGGCTCCAAAAATTACAGTTTTCCAGAACATTTGGGTTTTAAACTAACACAGTCAAAAACGCTTGCTTAGAATACAACTTGAAGATGTGACAGGACATAATGTCATAGGACACAATGTCATTTTCTTGCAGCCTGTGTAAGATATGTTATGAGACACTGCAGTCCTGCAAAATAAAAAAACTTCAAAGAAGACTTAGTAATAGCTTAATTAATGTAAATTTCATGAAACATTCAAAAGGATATTAACATATTAATTCAAAGTATAAAATATAATTTTTTTTGAAAGAGGTACTCAAATGTTGGTGAATGAAAATATAACATTTGGCTAAATAATTGTCCAAACTTCCACATTCAAAACCTTTCAGTAATTGATCAGGCTGCAGAATTAACTTTAGTATAAAACCTCTTGAACATTTTGACTGCCTTCCCAATTGTCACTTGGAATTGATCACAAAAATTACAGTAGCAAGCTTAAAATTGTTTGAACATCCCTAGAGCTAAGAGGCAACTAAATTGAAATTTCTTTTACTTCTTGTGCTATTCCTGCTCCTTGCTCCTCCATAAGAAAAAGTAATGTTTTGGCTTGTCCTAGAAAGGAGTCCGACTTGACTGCAGGCAACTCCAGCCTATGAGGGGACCCAAAATAGACACCTGGCTCATTCCCAAGCAATAGTTTCCAAGTGAGCCAGCTCAGCCTCAGTGATCTCTCACTCACACAGAGACAGACTCTGCCACCTCCTTCATGCTCAGCAGTGTGTTGGTCCTCAATTAATTACAAAGGCTACGCCCAGGATAATGCATTATTCTCTGTGAATAGGTTTAACAACAGTCTAGATCTCAAAAATGGCCTTTCTTTGTGGAGATAGGTCTCATTTGCTCCTACCCCCCAGCTGTGATTGTCCCATTCAGCCACTGCTGGACCACTGAAAAATCCTTTCTTTCAGCCCAAGCCATCCCGTGGTGGGCAGCAGAAGGCAGGGCTGTGTGGGATGCACAGTCCATAGACTGTCCTGAGCTGCTCCCAACCCCCTCAGAAGATCTGACACACCATTGTTGTTCATTGGCAAGGTATTTTGGACTTCAGAGCAAGAAAAGAAAAACTGAAATCCATGATTTTTCTTTGCTGTGAAAGGGAAATTAGTTTCTTACCCACTCCTCCTTCCAGACCAGGATATGACTCAGTCCCTCAGAGTTTAAAGATGATCAGAGACGATACTGGATTTCTTCTGTGAGATGTGTTGTAGCTGTACCAAACACTGAGGATAAAATTACCTTCTGATGCAGTCTGCTACTGCTGGAAAACAAACAGGACTTCTTGTAGAATGACTGTTCTGTAGCTGGAGGTAGATCACTTTTCATCCAGACTTCAGTCAAATTCATACTTTTAGGACTTCCCACCTAAAGCAGTCTGAAATTCTTGCAGAAAAAAACCAAAACATACTTTTGCAACTTGGGTAGAGCTGATAACTGGGGAATACACATCACAGGCCATGGTGTGAGAAAGGTTTACTCTTTTGCTTGGCTTCAAAATGAAAAATATCACGAGGAAACGGGGGTTATTTGTGGTGCTAACAATGCATATTTTTGAGGGTCTCTGGTTTCCTGAGGCGCCTCATCCTTGAGACACTTTATTGTGAACATGTTGGCACACATCCTTTTCCCAAGCCAAAAGCCACCTGGCAGTTAGAGCAGGAAGAATGAAAAGCAACATCCCACATTCAATGGTAAATTCTCAACCTATGCATGATTTGTTGTAACAATCTACCCATTTGCTCTCCTGCAGCAATAAATTGCTGGTGTCTGGATTGTGCTGTAGAAGGAAGATGATTTCATAACACTCCCTAAACTTGTACTCCAAAGCATGAAGGTTTCTCCTTGATTTTAAAATAGGGGAATATATCTAACACAATATACTTCCCATGTAGACTTAAAGCAGTTTTGAAAGCCATAGTTTTTTTTTGCCTCTAACATCACCTTTAATTTAAATTAAACAAACAACCAAGCAAAACAAATTTAAAAAAATAGTAAAAATCATAATTATTCATTTTGGGCGCCTGGCTTAAAATATTTGCAAGTTCACTGATTTTCAGATGGCTGGATCTGAGCAGAGTCTGAACACATCCCCTAAGACATTTTGAGTAGTATATCCCAAAGCAGAGCACTCACTAGTATTATTTGCTTCTGAAAATCTTCTCTGGGAGTGACATTTGTGCTAGCTAGATCCCTTAACACCGGGTAATACTTGGCAGAAATGAACTGCCCCTCTGTACATATGCTCATGTCTTTTTAAAATTATACTTTAAATGTAAGGTGCTTGAGCTCACTAATAATTCCCTGAATTTTTGACGTGCAATCAGCACGCTAGTCCTTATATATAGGAAGCCTCAAGATGGCACTCTTGAACTGCAGAGTTTTTCAGGGAGGCTGATTATGAATTTTTTTTCAAGGAAAAAAAAAATTCAGTGGTGAGTGTGAATCTGTACAGGAATAACCAAAGCAAATATCAAGTAAAACAGCAATATCAGACCAGGGCATCAAAACCTACCAGAGTTCACATGGCAAAATTTACTTCAAAGCAATAAAAATTAGTGTTGATAAAACCCACACATTTTGTGAACAAATCCATGTTTTTTGGAAGTTTCTTCCAGTTTTTCCATTGCTCACTATCCCTTATTAACCACCCCCCTTTTCTCTCACAGAGGATGTTTTCCTGTTACCTCATGAGGATCCTGGAGTTGGCTCAGGTGTTGCTTGGGTTTGGTTCTCAGTTCCTCCTTCCATCGTCTCCCTGCGTGCAGTGGAGGGTGCTGTGCTGGTGTCCGTGACAAAAAGCACTGGTGGCTTCTCCCTGGTTATTCCTACTTTTTCCTCATGCAGCACGGGGACAGAGAGAGGAAGCCTTGATGTCCCCAAGCACAGAGAGGGGGGGAAGACATCTACCTGCCCCTAATTTGGGTGCTGTAGAGCTCACCTGCTCCTCACCAGCCTCACTTGAGCTCCTTGCTTTTTACTTTTTTTTGCTTTACACATGCTGTAGCATCATTTCCTTGCATCTCCATCAGGCTCCTGGGGGGAAATTCTGCCTGGGGCTGTGTCAGCACTGCCTGGGGGTTGGACACGGCTGCTGTGCCATGGCTCCTGGGCACTTATGGAGCAGCTGGCTCCAACACAGGCACTGTGGCAGGTGGGGAAATGCTGGCACCAGCCCTGACCAGCAGTCAACCCTGTTCTGTGGGGTAAGGGAGACCCTCCTAACCCAGAGGACAAACCTCTCTGGGCCAGGTTTGGGACCAGCACTGTGAGGTTGCTCAGTTACTATGTCTAGATCAGAGATGTTATTTACTTGCACCCTATTTTACAGAGCCAGTGTCATGAGATGAATCTTTGTCCAAGCCAGGCTCTGACACAACAGGGAGATTAACTACGCAAACTTCTGTGAAAAAGGAGCTGGGAAGGGGAGCATTACCTCCCCACTCTCACAGAGCCTTTTTCCCTCTCTTCCTCTTCATCCTCCTCCTACATAAGAGGAAGTTTTGTGGAAGTCAGAGAGATGCAATAGGAAGCAGCCACTGGAGGAAAGAGAAAGACCTCCAGGGAAGGTGGACCTACCCTGGGCTGCAAAGACTTCTTGGTGTTTTTTCACCCATGGCGTTTGCCTTCCCTCCCTCAGCAGTTTTCCTCAGCTGTTGCTTCTCTCCATGTTGACTTCGGTGACTTGTGGCCTTGGCTGTGTCCTGTGTGAGGTCAGAGTCAGGGCTGGCACCCTCCCAGCCCACCAGCCAGCCCTCCTTGCCCGCCGCCTTCGGAGCCACCACGCCGGAGCTGGAGCCAGCTGTGGAGCGCTCTTATGAAACCGTCTGCTGACTCACCCTTCCCTCGCCTGCCTCAGTGAAATCGTGCCCACCTTTTTAAAAATCACACTGCAGCATTACATGACGTATTTGTCCACCTCTTTCACTGTCATGAACTGCTTCAGATAAGCAGCTGTGAGGTTGCTGGAAAAGATAGTGGGTTTTTTTCCTTTGCTCTAGGGCCACCGAAAAAAAAGTATTTTTTTCTACCTCTTCTTGCTGGTGTAAATCTGAATCTGTTGAATCACTGAGGTCATTCCTGGAGAAACTGGGAACTGCCTTCTCCAGAGTTGGTATAGGTGTGTCCCAAGGTGGGTAGCTCCATTTTTTTAATGGTATCTGTGTCTCCCACATGCTGTTTCTCTCAGGTGTGTTGTGTGAGCACGGTGTTCTGACCACTTAGGGCAGCAGATTAATGCCTCTGGGGGTGTCATATCATGTCAGTGTCCTTTCCTATCATCAGTCTCCATTGAAACATGGACTCAGACAAACCTCTCTGGGCCAGGTTTGGGTTTGGGACCAGCACAGTGAGGTTGCTCAGTTACCATGTCTAGATCAGGCGTTATCTACTTGCACCCTATTTTGCAGAGCCAGCATCATGAGCTGAATTTTTGTCCAAGACAGGCTCTGGCACAACAGGGAGATCAGCTACCCAAAGCAAAGACCTGGTGAGTGATGGGCTTTGGAGATGGACAGACAGGTAAAAAATGAGTGGGATTTTGCTTCTATTGAGCCAAACCACAAAATTATTTTTTTTCTACACAGTCTGAGTTTTGGTTTTACTTCTGATTTCTTTACTATTTGATTCAATGTTGGTTTTGATTCTGATTCATCTGACACTTTAAAAATTTGTTTGCTTTATAAAACAGTAGGTTAATTTTTAATTGGGAAAAAAAAATCAAAAATTGAAGGTTCTGATCTTTCCAAAACTTAGCAAAAAGAAAGTTGCTTTTTCAGAAGTAAAACATTTCAATCTGACTTTAAGAAAAATACCACCTAATTTTTTTCTTCAGGAAAAACTGTTTGCCAATTATGACAAATCTTATTTCTTTCATTTTGTGATGATTATTAAAACAGTAAAGAAAACATGCTTTGGTAAGTGATATACTACTACACCTGGTTTTTTCCACGCTACAGAGCTGACTACAGCAGAGACATGGATAGATACCAGTTGTCTCAAAGGTGCTGAGAACACCTTTTAAGCACAACTGTCAAGAAGGTACTTTCAGTCCCAGAAGTCTATGTTCTACCATTAGAGAACCTACTAGATAACTTGGGCAGGTTTTTGATGTGGCTGGCAATCTATCAGCTTCCAGAAAGATCTGTGCTCCAGCCTCTGCCTTCCCAGGTCAACTCTACCAAGTGAAAAGCATCAATTTTCTATCAGTCCTGTTGCACTGGTCATTTCCAGATCTCAAGTATTTGCATACTCCCGTATTTCTATCTGATGTGAATAAATTCTGGGTTTTTTTTACATGTATAACACCCCCCAAAACTTCAAGCAATCTTTGAGCTTTGTACTAGAATTTTTTACTTTCACTAGCTGCGAGGTGAAAACTAATGCTCCCTCTGTTTTAGGCTGGAATACTGATTTGCAGAACTTCTCACTAGAGGACATGGTAGATATTTTTAAATCGTGCTTCCTCTTTAATGTGGAGAGCCATCTCTGGGAAAGTTTGCAAGATCAGGCCCACGGTCATCATTTAGTCAAACTGCATAATTCTTAGGTCTTTTAATCTTTTCTCATAAATCAATCCTCCAGTCCCCTTAGTCGTACTTGTTGCTCGTCTCTGAATTCCTTCCAATTTTGCAATTTACATTATAATTAAGGCTTAGTGAAACTGATGAGAAAGTGATTTTTGGGGCCAATTTTTATGCTGCTTGTAAATATTCAAGACCTTGCTTTCCACAGGATTGTGAGGGCCCCCCGAACTTCGTGTCGATGGCAAGGACCTGAGGAACTCCCATTCCTGGGGCAAGGACAGATGTTTTCCCAAGTTCTCCCACTGTGGCTTGCCACTAATTAGTATGCATTATCCTATTGATTTCTGTGGGACTGTGACTGCCTACAGCACAATTCACAGTGAATAAGGACAGGAGGATCTGCCTCAGCCTGTGCCTGGTACCACTAACTCACTGTCTGATTTTACTCAAGGTGAGCAGTGTTGGGCGGCAGGCAGGGAACGGGATCTAATTGGGCTGTTTGGGGGAACAAGAGGCATCAGGCAGAGATGTTCTCTGAAGAAATAGCTGTGCTGGGCAAAGCACCTTCCCTGGGTGTTTTTGGGTTGGCTGCCAACATGCTCTGTGGGCAGCTGGGATAAATGGTGAAGTTGGAGCTTGTATCCTGCGATTGCCATCCTGTGCCCCTCCTGGATCTCAGCTCTACTGGGGCTCCACTCATCCACGCTCCATGTAACCACTGTCTGGAAGAGTGTATACACAAATCCAGTGGGACCAGAGGTGGTTTGCTGATAGGAAGCCTGAAGATGTGCAACTGGCCGAGGAGCATCTGCTGCCACCACAACCACCTCCCCTGCTGCTGCTGCCTTGCTGCGGGGACATCTGCCCATGGCCAAAGCTCGCCCCAGCACTGCACATGGAGAGGATGAGAGACCACACATGATCCTTTGTGCTGGGGAGACAATGTGGGCATCATAAAGACCTCATGGATTGAGCCCTGCTCATCCAGCACAGCCAACTGGGGTGTGTGCTTGTCCATGGGTAGAGGGGTGGCTCAGGATAAAGCCATCTGTGAGCCTTTGCAGAGGAAGCCTGAGCAGAGAGTCCTTGCTGTCCCTCTCAGATCAGCTGCCATTTATGCCTCTCAAGGACTCAGAACTGGTTTCTGATCCTGTTTTTCAACCTTAAGTTTTTCTTTTCTTATGTGATAGCTGCAGTGGATTGGAAATTTGCCCCACTGGCAACAGGCTGAATAGTCCTGTGAGAGTCTTAGCTCAAATGCAAGCTAGAAAACAACCATTAGAAAATAGAAAGCTGAATCCCTGCCTGCCTGTTTTAAGTCCATAGTCATACCAGCCATGCTGACATTTTGGTTCTGCTTCCTCTGGGTGCACATATGAGAAAGATACCTGTGCATGTTGCTAATCTCAGTCCCACAGGTCAATGAAACTTAAGATTTTTGTGTGCCTTCCTCTCACTTTTCTTCAAAATTTTGAAGCTTCTTATGGGAAATATTTCTTATTGCTCCTATAGTATTACTTCATAATAATTATTATTCTGTTACATGAAAATAATATTATCTTTACAAGTGTTAGAAATCAAAGTAGAATGAATTCAGAAAATAGGAGACAGTGAATCCTTCAATAAGCAGACAATGCCAGTGAGGGAGAGCTATTATCTTCATTCTACAAACAAGAACATAGAGAGGTGAAACTCATCCAGCTGATGTTGCACAGGAACTGGGTTTGGGCAGTCTCTGGAACTGAGCCAGTCCCAGGTCCTTGCCCACAACCCAGACGAGCTGTTTTATAGATACTTTATGACACATCATGTGCCTTGCAGCCTCTCAACCTTCTCAAGGAAAAGAGTCCCCACATTTGCTGAATGATGTCTCAGATAAGTACTGCGTGGTTCTCTCTGTGCCATGCTGCCAGGAAGAGAGACCAACAAGTATATTTGCTGTCCAAATGTATCACCATGGCAACTAAAAACTGTAGTCAGGAATACTGTAGTTACTTGATTTTATCATGATTTTCAGGTTCTATGATTTCCAAAGGTTCCTTCTTCCTCAGCAGTTCTATGTCTCTGGGACAGGAGATAAGGATCTTACAAAATCTGTAGTCTCCTTTAAAGTAATTTCCTTTATCCAACAAATTAACTGTTTTCACTGTGTTACGGGGTTTGCTTTGTTAGTTTATTGATATTATTACATTAAATTATTGTCACTATTTATTGGTGAAAGCAGAGGTAGGCCAGGAAGACAACAGTTGGAGAGGGTTTCCAAGAAATCAGTGGTTATTTGGATTCAGATCGTGTTTCCAGTTTGCTGGGTATCTGGCCCGTAATATTCCAGAAGTGAAGCTCATACTTGAGCCCAGGCTCACCAGTTGCAGCTGGGGTTGGGTTGTGATGGACCACATTTTCAATCTTCTTCATCACTATTGAGATGCTTCTTAAAAGTGATGTCTTCCCTGCACCATGACAGAACCAAAACTGATAGAGGGTGAGCAAACAG